TTTGTTTTATATGGAAAAATAAACTTTAAACTACCTGAACGAGCGGGTTTCCCTTTAGTGATGCATAATTTAATTACTTACTTTTTTGTGTTTTTTGAAGCGTATGGCGATCTGACCTTAAATAGCTTTTTTTTTGTACTGGACTAAAGGGATACACGCATGTTGAGGTAGTTTAAAGTCTATTTGTTTGTACAAAACAAAAGGGATGAACACAAATCTGACATCTAGCATATTGCCTATAGGTATGCTGGTCTGATGGGGTATGCTCATCTAACAGAACAGGAGAGAACGGATCAGGAGGCTACTTGTTTTCATAAAGGTTCAGTCTGGAAACTATTTTTCTTTCCTATCTGATTGTCAATCTGAGCTAAAAGATGGATTCATCCTTCTGTCATCTTCAAATCATTTTCCCTAGAGTCATTCAGCCTCTTTTCCTCTTTCTGTTCTGGGAAAAAAGTCTTATTTTAGTTCTGAAACTTCTTCATTTTGTCTCTAAGAGTCACAGGCTCAAACACCCAACCAGAGAAGGGAGGATGGCTAAGCTGCGTTATACGGTTTAGGATCTCAAGGGGCCCCTAAGTGGCCCTTCACTGGGGAAGCTGCTTGGTTTACTGGTTTCTCTAGAATTGGAACTGGGAGTTTCCTGTGAGTCCTTCCCTGGAGCAGGTGTTGCTCCTGCCATCATCTTATTACACCTCCTGCTCCTCCCCTCCTCCAGCTGCTCCTCTAAAGGAAACAAAACATCAGAGTTCCTGTTTTTCTCAGGCTCCCTATGTGAAGCGGATCATGAAGCTCTTCCTTCTGCTCTCTGCCGTTCCTGTGGTTTGGTGCTTCAGCTCAGGTTTGGTCTCAGACAGCTGCGTGGACATGAGTCCCCACCATGTTGGGTCGCCTCAGACCACAGCATCCCCGTTCACCGTCAGCGTCGAGCAGAGCGGCTTCAGACCTGGAGAGGACGTTACAGGTGAGTCACTGATTGGTTCCTCAACCAGGAAAAATTAAACTTCACATCTGGGGTTTTCTAGCAGACAGAAACAGAAGAACCAACTGGAAAGTATTTCTTAGATTTAATAATTTTTTATTGGAGTTGCCACAAACCAATAAGGTGCTGAACTAGTTTAAGGTAAGTTTACTATAATCACATTAATCTGAAGAATAAATGAGCAAAACACTGATATTAATAGATAAAGAACAGCAGAATTCAATTCAATTCAGTTTATTTCTATAGCGCCAAATTCACATCATGTCATCTCAGGTCACTTTACAGT